AAGCGTATATTAATAAAAGTTTTGTTAAATTGATATTTATTAATTTATTAATTTTAATTTTTAATAAAATTAAAAATTTAAATTTTTATATTACAAAATAATTAACTTTTCTTTTATCACATATTAATCTCATGAATTGATAATTATATGTCTAATCAAAATATACACCCCCAATTCCAGGTTGGAATTCGAATTATCATTTCCAAAAACTATAATTTGTCCAAAAAAAACTCTTTAATCAATATAAAAAAAATTACAAAAAAACATATATCTTGATGAATCAATGTCTTTTAGATTTTCTTATGGAGTTTTGTTCTGATGCTTGTCTTTTGTTGGCCTTGGGAAATGATTATACAGTGGTAGTAATTAATTTTTTAAGAAATTCAAATTATTACTTTAATAATTTAAATCAGTCATGATAAAGATTTTAAAATAGTACTAAGCGATAATTTTTTTTTTATTTTTGTTTTGACCCTTCTATTTTTTTAATGTTAATAATTTTAATTCCTGCTAACATGATTCATTGTCCCCGGTCGGAGCCGATTAATTAACAAATACTACCATTTTAACTTAACCCAAAGAGAAAATAAATAATATAATGTGATGATGGGGAAGGTGGTGGGTTGGGCCTACCAGAACAGAAAATCCCTATAGATGGATATGGTGACCTCAGGTGTCACCTGCCCCAACTGGGAAACCATATTCCATTTGTTTAGTAGTAATTAATAATAATACAAAAAGTTAAAGTATAGTTTGTGAAAAGAGGCCTTTATTACATCATTCTCTTGATAATATTTTTTTACTTTAAAATAATAATTATTTTTTATTTTAAATTTATTTTTATTTTTAAAAATAAATAAATATTTTTTTACTTTAATTATATTATTTTTATTAATTATTAAGTTAAAAATATATTTTTATCTTTTATTTTTTTAGAATATTATAAATAAATATAAATGTTATCTCTACATTTTTAAGGTTAAACTCCCATTTGGTCCCTCAATTATTGTAAGGACCCTCGATTTAATCTCTCAACTCAAAAAATCCTTGAAAAAATCCTTACTGTTTATCATTTTGATTCCGATTTGATATTTTTGTTAATTTTTTCACGTTAATTGACGAAAAAAGCATTATGTGTTTAAATATTTTCATGCAAAATTTGACATATTGGTAAAATTAAATGACATGGTAATTTCCAACTCATCCCACCCAAAAAATTCCCTTTTTGTAGCCTTTTTTTTTTT